TGGAAAAAAAAAAGATCAATAAATTGAAATAGCAACCTATAAAACGGAAGAAAATATTTGCAAATGATATATCTGATAAGGTGTTAATATCCAATATATATGAAGAACTCATACAATTCAATAGCAGAAAAGTAAATAATCCAATTAAAAAAATTGGCAAAGAACTTGGACAGAAGTTTTTCAAACAAGATATACAAATGGCCAACAGGAATATGAAAAGGTGCTCAACATCATTAATCATTAGGGAAATGAAAATCAAAACCACCATCAGATATAACCTCAGACTTTTTAGAATGGCAATTATCAAAAAGATAAGAGATAACATATTTTGGCAAGGATGTGGAGAAAAGGGAATCCTTATACGCTGTTGATGTGAATGTAAATTGGTACAATTATTATGGAAAACTGTATGTCAGTTCCTCAAAGAGTTAAAAATAGAACTATTATATTACCCAGCAATCTCACTTCTGTATATATATCTGAGGGATTTGAAATCAGTATCTCAATGAGATATCAACATAGTCCTGTTCAATGTAGCATAATTCACAGTAGCCATGATATGAAATCAACCTAAATGTCTTTTTGTGGATGAATGAATAAAAATGTAGTATATATAATCAATGGAATATTATTTAGTGATAAAAAAGGAAATCTTGTTATTTCGGACAATATGGTTGGACCTAGAGGTCATTAGAATAAGTGCAATAAGCCAAAGACAAATACTGTATGGTATCATTATATGTGGAATATGATGAATCTTAAAACACACATACAAAACAAACAATACTTGTCCTCCCCCCAAATCCCCCAAAAAACCCTGTTTCATAGAAACATGATAGAATGGTGGTTGCCAGGATCAGGGAGGAGGTGTGAAGGGGTAATGGATGTCAAAGCATACAAATTTGCATTTATCAGAAGTTCTAAGGATTAAATGTACAGCAGGGTGACTATAGCTAATAGGGTAGTATACAATTAAAAGTTGCTGAGAGTACACCTAAATTATTCTTAGCACAGATACACACAAAAATGTTAACTTTGTGTGGTGATGGATAATGTTAATTATCTTGATCTTGGTAATAATTATACAATGTATATGTACATGGTATCATCATGTTGTACATTTTAAATATATATAATTGTATGTCAATTATTCCTCGATAAAGTTATAAAATATCCGACCCCCCAAAAGGTAGTGTGCACTAGGTATCTTTAATTAATGTTTAACATTTTCTAGTAATTTTAGTAAATTACTTTAGTCAGATACATGTTCAATAAAAAGCTATACCTCAAGTTAAAAATAAGACAGGACTTTTCATCACAGTATAAACTAAAATGACAGATAATACCACATATACATATGAATTTACATATGTTTATAAGGAAAAATTAAGTCACTTTTGGCATGCACATGTCAGAAAATTATTCATTTAAATTTTTATGAAGAAATAATTAAAAGATATCTTTATGTTTTAAAATTATGTAAAAAATCAGAATATATTATATAGAATATATAGTTATAGATATTAATCACAATGAGGATTATACCTCAACAAAAAGAGCTAGATAGAAATATTTCAAAATATTGTGTATTTCTTCCTAGTGATGGAATTTTAAATGTTTTCTTTTCACTCTGTACTTTTTGACACTTTCTGAAATTTGCCTACAATGAGAAAATAATACTTTTGGAAAAAAAAAAAGTGTATGTGTAAATAAAACAAGAGTAGCAAAATGGAGAGTAGGTGATCCAGAGAATATCAGCTTCAAGTGCAATCAAGGAGGATAGAAAGTAACTCAAGTCCTGGGCAACTAACAGTCAGCAGGGCCTCACTTCTTTCTTTAGTAAAAAATGTTTACTGCTGCCGGCAGCCTTCCCAAATCAAAAGCCAGTCTCAAACATTAATAAGGACATTGAATTTATCAACATATCTTGCAATTATCAGCACACACCATTATTTTTAGGTTAAAATTTAAGTGCTTCAGCAGCAAGCATTGCTCCATCAAAGTCTATCTTTACTAAAATCCATCAAATCTATTTAAAAGTGAAGAGATTCTCAAGGAAACTACTGGAAATGGAATTTTTTACTACTCATCTCAGGGGTCGGCAAAATATTACCAAAGATATTTTGTTGGCTCATTTTCAAAGGTGCATGAATTTCTGTGGTCACAGACTCTTTAGGGCTACATACGTCACTTTCTACTATCTATTGCCCTGACATGTCTATTTATGAATGTATATAGGTACGAATGTATGTATGTACATACATATATATGTATGTGTTGTGTATTCATTCATTTATTCATTTGCATGATTCATTTAACATATGCTTATACAAGACCTAAATGTACACTATATACTAGTAAGCAAATCAGAAGAATTTGCTGCCATCAAGAAGTGTGAATGATTATATTATAGCAGAAACTATTGGTTGTCTCCCCATCGGTAATCCCCTTCCTTTTTACTTTATATCTAAAAGAAGCAATCTTTCGCAATAGAAGCTGAAAACACCAAGGTCTCACTTTTGCATAGATATACGACCAAGTTTGGGAAGACTTCTTAAACAAATTTTTCTCCTTTATAAAAATTATGACACTGAGGACAAGTCTCCCCACCCCCCGACTTTTTGTTCTCTGACTTTGCACACAGTTGAACGAAGACAACATATAGATCTTTAGCCACTATCATAATACAATGAGGAATCAAAGCTTAAAGAAAGTAAGCCGAGGATTGTGACATGGAAAGTAGGAAAGCCAAACAAACAAACGAAAAACCCTGGGTCCTTGTAGATACTGTTTAGCTCTTGAATAAGCTGTAAAATTGTCATGCTTCTAGACCTCTTGTTATTTTAGTTATTAAAAATCTTGCTGTTAAACAACTTTGTGTAGAGAGTATAAACTGAAGGCATCTTTATTTATGCAACGTCGAGGTCTACTCATACACAGTTCACCTGATTTCATATGTAAGTTCTCCTCTCCAAATGGCATGGAATAACAAGGCTTACCGATAATGTCTCATTTTCAAGTCATAAAGATTTCCAACAAATCCTAATTTTGGTCATTTCTGAAAGATGATAAATTACTAATTTATAGTCAATAACTGGCATATTATAAAGTAAAAAAATCAGTGAAAATTATTCGGTCTCCTCGTTTTCTTCCCCCAACTTTTCTTTCTATAACTGTTCAATTTGAGAAATGAAATTCAAAAGACTTTGAAAGTCTTGTGTAATATTCTATCTCTACATAAATCTGTCATCCTAATACCTGAAATTTATCAGGTCTAGGAAGCTTGATTTCTTTATTACATTCCTGATATTAAGTTAAATTAATTCATAGAGAACTAGAAATTTCTTTGCAAATGAAAACACACACATACACTCCCCACTCCCTTACCCCCAGCTTCAATTATTTATTGTTCATGACTGCTAAAAGCTAAGGCCAAACTCAGTGTAACAGTTAAGATATCCTGAGCTGAAGAGTCTCAGTATGAAAAATTAAAGTTAGGCAAATATCTTCTGTTTCATACTTTTATCTTATTTATTTATTACATACAATGAGCAGAGTACTAAGAAGTAGGAATCAGTAAGCATTAATGAGAATTAATTAACAGTTTTCTTGGTGTTCTGGGGAATGTCTTGTAAATGAGGTCAAAGGAAAGGCAAGAAGCATATTTATGGAAGAGCAAATGGTAAGATGCTCCCACATGGAATGAGCATTTAATAAATATTGGTTGACATAATAGAAACACTTTCTCATGACTCTAAGCCCAAAGTGAAGATGCCAAAGAAGAGAGATGAGTCTTTTTTCATTGCTTCTATTAGAAAAATTGAAGGATTTTTCAAACCATTAAATAAAATGGGGAATTACCTCTCTTTCAACAGACATTTGCAGATGGGGCTGATCATTGTAGTGAAAACATTTTTAAAAAGCAATATTATGCACAAAGTAATCTGCACTTATTATTTATTGAAAAAAATTATCATTCCTACTAAGAAGAGCCTAATACGCTATCACTCACCTACATTTCCTACATTTAGCAATACAGATGTACCACAAGCACAACTATTAAAGATATCTGCCTCTTATTTCCCACGCTCAAGGGAGAAAGTATTTGTATTAACTTTCTCTTGCTGCTATAACAAGCTAACATGAATTAAGTGGCTTAAAATAACACAAATTTATTCTCTTACAGTCCTGAAGTCAGAAGTCTAAAATGAATTTTATAGGATTAAAATCAAAGTGTTGGCAGGGCTTTACATTGTCTGTTTTCACCCAGTTTGTGTGGTGACATCATTTTCTTCTTATTTAGGCCTTCTAGTTTCACTCTTATAAAGACTTGTGCAATTATATTTAGGACCCACCTGGCTAATTTGGGATAATTTTCCCATTTCAAGACTCTTAATCAGTATGCAAAGTCTCCTTTGTCGTAAAAAAAAAAAAAAAATAACATTATTAGGTTCCTGAAATTATCAAGTGACTGTCCTTGGTAGGGGGCATTATTCAGTCTATCACATCCATAGTTTGTGGTAGATGTCTAACTTTGCATAGGTCCTGACATGATAGTCTTATAAAGAAAAGTATCAATAGCCAAAAGCAATCAACAATAAATATGAAGACTCTCTGTAATAAAGAGATTTATGAAGGATATCTAGAAGTTAAAAATGTAGGTTGCCAGTGGACCTCATCTCTGGAAACTTGTTCAATATATGTTCTCCTTAATGTAAATATTCCAAAAAACAATATCCTTCAACATTGAATTAAAGTAATTAAAGGTTACAAAGGGACTTTAAATACTTTGTAACAATGCCTGCCTTTGATTAAGAAAGTATCCAGGAAACCATAACTACATTTATCTCTATTAAATAGGTAAGAAAATTAAAACATTTAAATGCAATCAAATGCAACTTCAATATTAATGAAAATTAGTAAATTTAAGCTAAATCATATTTTAGATAGTTTATTTATTGGGCTAGCTAGTTGGAGGGGAAAGGGAGAAAGATACTCACCTTAAATAACAAATCCTTTTTCCCATACCGAAGCTCTTTCAACTGGGCTTGGATTTTTTTTGACTGAAAGAGCAGAAACATGAATTAGTGCCTTAATTTCATTTATATTTTCAAACTTGAAGATTAAAATTTTTCAAACTGCACAAAAATTAATTTTTGCGGCCAAGCAAAAGATTCTGATTAGTTTGGAACTGAAACAGAAAGGCTTAATGTCCACTTTGGGAGTTGGACATCCAGCTATTCTAGGCACGAAGAGAAAACCAAAGCCTTTTCAAAAGGAAGCCCCCCAAAGAATTTCAGTCACCCAGGGATGGCCAATTTCAGATTTTAAATATATCCCTGCAATTGTATGCCTCAGTTTTCACTGCTTATTTCAATTATTTATTAAAGTAGATTAAATATGGTTAAGTTTAAATTGACAACCAAATTTGAATTTGACATATGTCCAAGGAGAAGGCAGCAAACAAATATGACAGGAAATGAAAAAGGCATTTAGAGTGCTAAGAGGCTGAGGTGTAGGGTGTTAGCACTTTAGAAAAATTGACTTTTTAAGCGAACCGTTACAAATGTAAAAGAGCTTATAAGAAAGAAATCTCTCTCAGCAGATATGTTTGGCTACCATAATGAAATATGTTCTAGTAAATCTCAGATGATGATGGTAATTCATTTTTCCAAAGCAGACCCAATTTCAAATATTCTAACTTAAGAACCTCAGTCATTTGTCTTTCTACATCTGAAATGACTATTTCTGATTCCTCAGTAGAAGAAATACAACACAAATAAATATCATAGTTAGGTGAAAATAATGATAATTGAAAAAGCAGTTGAGTGAGAATGGAAAATAGTACAGTCACTTTGGGAAACAGTTTGGCAGTTTCTTATCAAATTAAATATACATATATTGTATTATTATTCAAGAATTCTTTCTAGGTACTTACTGTATTATTCAGGAATTCTTTCTAGGTACTTACTCAAAAGAAATTATAATGTGTACATAAATATTTACAGTATCTTTATAATAGTGAACGCTGGAAACAACACACATCTATTAACTGGTGAATGGTAAGCAAATTATGATAAATCATCAATAAGACAAATAATAACAAGTGTTGGACAGGTTGTGGGGAAAAGGGAACCCTCATACATTGCTGGTGGGAATGTAAATTGCCATAGCCACTATGGAAAACAGTATGGAGGTTCCTCAAAAAATTCAGAATAGAATTATCATATGTTCCAGCAATCCCTCCTCTGGGTATCTACCCCCAAAATTTGAAAATGTTTTTCTGTAGAGATATATGTACCTTGATGCTCACTGTAGCCACTATTCATGGTGGCCAAGACATGGATATAAAGAAGTGCCCTTCAATAGATGATTGGATAAAGAAGATGGTGACAGAAGGAGATTTGACTTTGAGTGGTGAACACACAATGAAATATACATATGACATTATTGAATTGAACACTTGAAACCTATATAATTTTCTTAACCAATGTCGCCACAATAAATTCAATAAAATGTAATATATAAAATGAAAAAAAAAAAGAAATCAAATACTGGAATGTAGTTGAGCAATCTTTGAAAATGTATAAAGTACTGAAACATGTAAGTGTAGATGGATTTCAAATTATACTATGGGAAATAATCCAGTCACTAGGAGCTATATTTTGTTTAATACCATTTATATGATATTCTAGGGGAAAATAAAACAAGGATAGGTACAGAAATCAGGTTAGTAATTGACATGGGCTGAGGGTTGGTGGTGGAGATTATAAAATAGCAAGAGGGAACTTGGGGGCTACGGAAATGTTCTGCATCTTGAACTGATCAAACTCATCAAACTGTATACTTAAATGAAATGAACTACATGCAAATTATATCTCAATAAAATTCAATTTTGAAAGTAGCTAGCCATAGCACATAATAAATACAATATCTGCATGGTACTATTATATCCTAGTAAACTCTATTAATATGAAGACCTCTTTAATAAATGAAGTCTGTTCTTATTTTTGAAATCTTATATTTTCCAAGCACACACTGAATATAAATGAGTCTTCCACTGAATGAACGGTGAGTGTATTGTGATTCAGTTTCCGATTATATTCAGAACATTTCTAACCATGCAAGGTAGTAGAGTTTGCAAAGTGGGAGACTGTGTTATAGTATGGTATGGTACTATAATTCCTAAATCATTATCCAATATTGGAAGCACACAGTGGTTCCTAACATTTTTGGCACCAGTGACTGGTGCTCCTGTGAGAATCTAATGCCTGAGGTGGAGCTGAGGTGATGATGCTAGTGGGGAGCAGCTGGAAATATAGAGGAAGCTTCGCTTGATAGCCTATCACTCATCTCATGCTCTGCGGCCCAGTTCCTAAGAGGCCACGGACCAGTACCTGGAAATTGGGGACCCATGAATTAGAGTATAAAATTGAAAGTGTTGTAAATTACACACCACTGCAAGATTCTAATATTAGAAACAGTTTTTCACAGACATCCTCATTGCGAGCCACCTGCATTTTGTGATTTATTGAATCAGGAAGCTGATAAGAGAGAACGACAACAACAACAACAAACAACAACAACATAAAAAAATGCAATGAGAAAAGAAAGAAAGAGACAAGGAAAGAAGGAGAGAAAGAAGGGGAGTAATGGGAGGGAGGGAGGAGTAAAAAAGCAGGGTGGGGTTGGGGGGGCGGAGAGAGAAAGAAAATAAAGGGGAGAGAGAAGGAGGAAGAGAGGAAGAGTTTGACATAATAATAATTCAAGATTATTCAATTAAACTGCATACCCAGAAGCAGCAAGGATTTGTGGTTTCTCACAAACTAGTTGCTATTTTCCCATTTCCATAAAATGGCATCCTTCACTTTCACTAACCGTTTTTCTTAATATGGTTAGTGAAAGTGAAATACATGACATAAGGCATAAGAAGACAAAGAACCATCATTGTGTGAATATGGTTCATACTGGATCTTAAGAACAAAAGCTCACCCTTGAGCCGTCAGCCCCTTGAACTTCTATTTCTACTTCAGGACTCTATATTTACTACAACTCTGCTCTTCCTCGCAGATTCTCAAGTGACCCAAAATAATGATATTTCGAACACAGCATCCCTGACTTGTTATATGAACTTCATCTCTAAGATATTTCCTGCTTTCTATGACTATTATTAATTTTGTGCTACTGATTTCAGTAAAGGACTATTATCTTTCCCAACTTCAAATTCACAGCTGATTAGCATGATCGCCCTGCTGTTGCAATCTGCTTTCCAGAATTGATTGATAGCCAGGATGATTTAGGAAAATAAACTTTTTTTCCCCCAAACTAATGTTGGCCAATACCAATGGGGAATGAAAGATTACTACTATATATGCTGTGCATGATTTGCCCAATTTCACTTCTCCCATAATTCATGCTTTTACCAGTCCAAAAGAAACTCGTTTTAACCATTTTGGGTGTTCATTTTTTAATGCATACTTATACTAAATGCACAGAATATAATTTAAACTTTTCTTCATAGCTTGAATTTATTATTAAAACATCAACTTTTGTATGATTATATTAGAAGAAGAAAAAAGTTACCAGACGTCTGGGTTCAAAAAAAATCTGGCATTAATGTTGTTTCTATCAAAGTGAAGTTAGAAGAGAAAATTTACTCACCTCTTCTGCACGAATGCCACACAGCTTGTTTCCTGACAAGAGTTTGTTTTTCAAGCTTTTATTCTGAGGAAAGAAACATAGTTATATTGCTAAGAAGTAATAAAATATTAAGAATTTCCTTAAATATGTCAATAGCATTGCATTTTTCTATGTTTTGTTCATGAGCGAGTCCTTTATGATATGACATATAATGAATTTTATATAAATTGAGTAGAATCTGTAATGTAAAAGACTGTTTCTTTTATTTAATTAAAATTTTGATGTATTGGCATTGATACATTTATTTAAAAAGATGGGACTTTATTTGGCCTCACATTTAACTTTTGTTTTCTATTTCTATATGTTATTTTTAAAATAATTTTAGTTTCAAATCTGCAATTGATGCTAATTTCTGAAAGCACTCCTCTAAAGAGCAAGTATTTATTTCTACTATCACCTGGATGCTGGTTACCTCATATAATATAGCCATAGACCCATCAGGGTCTGCATTCCTTTTAAAGACTAGAGTCCTCATATTCCCAATACCTGTGCATTGCTCTCAAAGGGCTTCTTGGATGCTCAGAAGCTATTTCCTTTTCCAGGCCTTATAAGCGTGCTCTCTGCTGAGTCTGAGTACAGACGGATCTGTTAAACTTTGAACTTCTTATAATCCACCTAGATTCTTAGACAAATGGTTGTTACTCTGAAAGCCACATATTCTTATGCATCTGAATCTAAACACTTACAGCTATTCAATTATATCTGTCTCATTACACTCAGGCTTTTCTGTCTTTGCCTCAGTAACTGAGTATCGAGAACCCTTTTAGTGAGGCAGGCTAAAGGAGAGCAGAAAACTTTGTAAAACTCACAGAATTTAGGCTTCATACTGTCTCTAAAGAAACAATGTAAGGTAAAGTGCATCTCATACATAACAACTCTAAAGAGAGCAAACCGAACAAAATTTATGCAGAGTGAATGGATAACTGAATGAACGAATACATCAAATTTAAGAGTTCTTCACTCACAATTCTCACCTGTTTATGAACAACGTTTCCTATTTTATTTTTCTGTCATGCAAAGAGAAGGTACAGCTGCCTCAGTCAGAAAGAATACTTTGTCTATTTTTTTTTCTTCTTTAGCTAAGAGTTGAAATTCTAAAAAGCTCATTTAGAATTTCAGTACCATAAAATGTTTCACACATATGAGGAGTTATCTTGATTCACTCAAGTAATGTCTTTATGAAAATATTTGTATGCAGCATAAAAGCACAAGATTTGAGTTTTTAAAGAAGCTTTAATACTATACATTTTTCTATATTTAAAAGCTTGTAAACTACAAAAACAGGATACATACTGATGTTCTAACTCTGCAGTGTTGCTCAGATTATAAGTTAAAAAAATCCCTAGTTTTCCTTTTATTTATATCCATTTATGATACTTTTGACTTATGGAATTTTAAATTTTTCTTAATGAAATGGTCCATTTTTCCCTTTTTGATTTCACTTATTGTTTTTGTACATAGAGATATCTTCACTATCTCTAGAGATTTGATACTCACTGAGATTTTCATCTTTTTTATGGTTATAGTCTTTTAGTGGAAAGATTGGTGAAATCCAAATAAGGTCTTTAGTTTGTTTAATAGTATTGTATTAATGTTAATTTATTGGTTCAAAAATTGTATTATCACTTTGTAGAAGTTCTGGGTTAAAGTACATGAGAATATTTCCTATTAATTTGCCACGATCTTTTCTATAGAAAAATAATTGCAAAACAAAAAAGTTAAAATATATTAAAAATAAAATTTAAATAAAAATAAATAAATAAATAATTGAGCAAAGTACATCTGATATGAAGATTTATGTGTCAACACAAGCATCCACACCTGAATAACTTTATAAATGATAATAAAGTGAGTATATTTGAAAATCGGTGTATGTAGTCTATGCTACTTAATATTTCCATTTCACTTAAAAGTTTTTTCTTTCTTCCCTTTTTACTTAATCTCTCTCTCTCTCTCTCTCTCACACACACACACACACACACCTTTTGTTCATTTTGTTCAATTATGAGGTGAGAGGTAAAGAAGTGAATAAAACAGTATTTCACTGAAAATATTTATGATAGCTTAGGCAATGTACTTGATTGGCACACTGGGAAGACTGCCACTCCTCAACGTGGATATCTTTTTGGCCACCCCAAAATGAGCAGTGATCATATTTCATGTCCACAGTCTGCTCTGGCTGTTGGTAATTCTGGGCAACTATGTAAAGCAATATGTAACATTAAGTTAAATGTCTTTTCTAGAGCTTATGAACTAGAGTATTTCACTATGTTGAAATATATCCAGAACTGAGGATAATTAGTTATAATCACCCACGATGGGGCCAATTGGGGGACACAAGGGAGAGTTGTCAAGGCCTATAATGAGATTGACCTTATATAGCACATTCTTCAGAAATGCGAATGGCACAGAGCACTAGAGAGCGACTACTGATTCCCAGACAATTCACTGATTTAACTTGTCCACTCATGACTAGTGACAATACCTCCTCTTTAACTCCCCCAAAAATATATGGCTTGGTATTATTTAGGTGTTAAGAACATGGTTTTTATAGTTCTGTAATCAAACTTATATCATTTCATCTTCCTTCTAAACTATGGATCTCATTTGTATTAAACCTAATAATGCTTTTATAAGATCTAAAATGACAATTTGCACGGGTAATTTTACCTACAATGTCAGAATTCAATTATAACTATGCCTCATGTGAGGGGATATAAATTAAATGTTTGAATGTCTATTATTTCTGCCTGCCATACTTCTACTGTCCCTTCTTCTAATAAACATACCTTATTTTTCTTATGAGAAATATTTTCCATGCTAATCCCATGTGGCTTGTGTGACACTAACTCTATCCACTATATCAAGGGAAAGGATAAGACTCGAGTCCAGTCAATAAGAGTATTAGTTCAGATTTAGTAAAGTAACAAAAACACCACAGATAAGACTCAAATATAAATCTTTTATTATCAAGAATTATTGAGGAAAATGTACTGAGGTTAATCACTAAGTCAGAACTTATCTGAGAATAGATCTAGCATACAAAAAGAACATTTCAGTATGGAGAGAGAAATACTGAATCCTGGTGATGCTGTCCCCTCCTCACCCCCTCATACAGCCTTGCCCTAAGCTATTATTCTGGGTTTTTCAGTTACATGCTTCTAGCACCAGCCTTTTTATTTTCTTGACACTGAAATCTTTTTGTCTACTCTATCTTACATAATCACATAATTCTGTCACGTCCTTAAGGTTCAGAGTAGCAAAGAAGAACATCCAAGTAATCAAGTTTATATCTAATGCTAATGTTATAGCTTATCAGGATGTGGGCAGAGAACATATCTACATATTTTGCCTTCTCAAAATGAAAGGCAGATTTTGCTTACTATCTACTTAGAGAATTCTTCCTAATTTAATTCTGTACAAATTTGGGGTAGATTAAAACAAATGCCCCTACAACCTTTTTGGGAACCAGCTTGTATATGTCCCAGTCCTGCCTAAAAATGTTATTTAATATTTCCCATTGTTGATACAATAAAAACTCAAACTCAAACCTGACTGTAACAGAAAATCTTTCTTAACTAATAGATCTGCTTAATCTAGCTTTGATTTTTGCTTAAGAACCGAAAACATCACATTTTCAATATAGTTTACGTGGTATCTCAAACCCAACAAATATTCTGGGCTACAAAACAGAAAGAGATATAAATCTAATATATCTCTATAATCTTGCTATACGTAAATACAAAAATTCCAAAATTACTATGAGTTTCCATTTTACACAGTGCTTTCAAATGAAATTAGGTATTAACTGTATTTTGGTTTGCAAGTAATAGAAACCAATAATGGCTAAAAGAAGAAAAACATGAATTTATTGTGAAGAGTCCATATAGAACAAAGACAAAGCCTGAGGAATAAGACTCAAAAAACACGCAGAAACGAAGTAGGAGGAGGTATGCATGATTATAAGACAGAAATAGAGTTATTGTGACAACTAAATGAGAGACTTTAAATCAGTGTACTTAATTATAAGGTGAAATGATGAGGTCTCAGTGAATTTTTACGGTGTAAGTCAAAATCTGGGAACACTTAGTACTGTCAAATATAATGAATTATGTAAATGTGTTTATCACATTATTTTCTGGATTTAAATAAAATATACCACTGCTGCTATGCAGCTGAAAACATGTATTAATGTCTTTAAAGTGCAATTAAATATGAACCTAAAGTAAAAACACCTGCAGTGGTATTCAAAATAAAACCAGAGATTGCTGTGTCTCACTGCAGAAAGCAAATCCTGTTTTAGAACTTCCTGAAACTGATTGTGCAGAAACCACTGTATTTGACTGCTTGAGGTACATGTTTGTTTTAATTTAAATGTATTTTTAAAATGCCCAGAAAATGGGCATGTCTTTTGAAATAAGTCATTTTGCTATTGAAAACCTTATATTCTGTATTTAGGAAAGCGATAAAATTTAGGTGTAATATGTAACATAAATACTTTGTTTTTAAAATAAATATTAGCAGATGTAATAATATTTTACAAATCCCCTAAGGGTCCTTTATTGAGAACACCTCGGGAAAGAGATGGGGTATGGAACTGAGATCTAAACCATGAGTGTTTATTTCCTCAATTTTAAGATAATTTTTTTCACATTTTAATATTTCTGAAGTCAGGATATAGTCTACAACATTTTGCACTTTTTATGTAGTATTTATGGTTCCTCCAACCCCAAGAAAGCTGTTAAATCAGACAATCCACTATACAACTGATGAATTCTTAGATTTTAAGATTCTTATTCCAAAGTTCTTGTTTTAAAATAAGAGGTAAAGATGTCAATAAAGGGAAAGAACGTTTTTCTCTCGTTTAGAAAAAAGCTTAGGTGCACAGAAAGTAAGGAAAATAAAAAATGTATATATGGGCTTTTTATTTATTCTAAGCCACATAAAAGAAAAAAAGTAGAATTTCCAAATGGAGGGAGATAAATTGTCTACAAAATAGTTTCAGACTGATACGAGAAAAAAAG